ATGATGGGCTCTCACAGGCCGAACAACCCCATGTTATTTGTGCACCTAAATAAGTGCAATTTTTCCAAAAAGTCAGCTCTGTATGTGGGGACGTCAGTGTTGTTTGAAAATTAATTTTGTGTAAAATTAATTTTTTAATATTTTTTTAGTGAATAGTGATAACTTTTTAACTTTTTGAGTAATTTTTTAGCTTTTTAAATTTTTTTGGATATCTCAAACCAAGCCTTAGTTTGATAATTGGTCAACTTCACCGTGATATTATTGAGATCTTTCATTGTAGCAAATCCAAACTCCCCTTTGTAAGGTATGTGTGTCATATTTTGCATTTAGTCTTTATGTTCTTAACATTATTGATAACTTTATTATTCTTGAAATGCATTTAAATAAAGTTTTATTCTAATTTTCATAGTATTTAAAAATGAAATGACTTGTCTTTTTTATTTTTTCAGAATCCAAACGCAGTTTTAAAATTTATAATGGTCTATTCTAACAGTAGCATTTAAGCCCCTGGAAGCAGCTGAACCATGTTATTCTCTGGTGGAGTTATTTTCTCCAAGTTGTAGTAATACCCTCATATTCTTATAAGCTAATAATAATTGTTGCCTTTCTTAAAAGGCTAACCCATGATGAAAACCCCTGAGACTTTGTCCTTCCTATCTTTCTTTTGTCTTTTATTTTATAATTGTTTGTTCAATTTTCTGTCAAACCCTTCACCTGTAAAAAAATGTGAACGGTGATTATTAGAGAGAGAGAAAGGACCCTAACAATATGGCTTAATTTCTTGCTCAAATTTGGTGAAAGTCACAATAATAACATTCTCAATTATGCACAAGGATTAGATGCATTAGGTTGGGGCTGTCTCGCAAACAAACAAATTAGCAATCATTTTCTTAGGCTAATTACACTTTTAATTCCGAACATTTTAATTATGTTAATTTCATCCTCAAAGTATTAAAATGTGATAACTTAATTATATGGCTAATAGTATATATCGTTGCAATTAGGGGTGTTTTTTAAACAAAAAATTACATATTAAGAAGAAAAAAAAATCATTTACAAATTGACACAATCAAAATATTATATTAGGACCAAAATAAATATCCATGATTCTTATAATGAATATTGACAATGATGCATTCAATATTTTGGAAACACCTTTTTTTCTCCTTCTAATTTTGAGATTAAAATTGATATAATTGAAAGGTTAGAAACAAAATGACATGAATTACATATTGTATGTAGAGATCAAAATATAATTAACTTTTTTTTTTAATTATAAACAATCCTAAGACCAAACTAGATTCTTTATGCCCACCCAAGAAGGCTCTAAAAACCTACAATCATTTGCAAACCACATTTACACAAAATTTAAAAAATAAATATCATATCAGTGAGAGTCTAACTCAATTCATCTGAGTTTTGAATCAAATATTAATAAGTTCAACTATAATTAGTATTAGTGGTTAATGCATAATGAATCAAATGATGTGTAAACTTGTTTAAAAGTGGTTAGGGGTTTTGTCTGATGCTGGTTGCAATTATGTTAGATTTTTAGAAGAAAGTAAAACATAGGATTTCAATTGATTTTGTTTGTGTTCATAAACAATATATTATTGCCATAGACAATATTTCAACAATACATTATTGCCATGGACAATATTGCATTCTTTTTGTCTATATGGCTTGGGAAGGAAATGCATTAGGCAATTGTGCAGTGTCAATTACCATTAGTGTGCCTAGTTTCACATGGAATTTTGGATGGTGGTTGATATTGAGACCACAGAAGGTAGTAGTCAAGATGTCTAGGCCATTAATAATTAATGGTCTAACCCATATGCATTGTCAAATGCAGACAAGTTTTTTACTGTTAAGGGAAGCCTATGGTTCTCTCTGTCTCTCTCTCCAATTGATTCATCCTATCATGAGTCTTTCAATAGTGGCTCAAAGTTTATATATATATATATATATATATAAGATGGCACAGTAAATATTAAAATCAGACATTATATTTTACTAGACTTTTGAAAAATTAGAATCTTCAATAATAAAAATTTTAAAGATTTTCTTGGTGAGCCTTAAACGGTGAGCTAAGTGACTTGATTAATAATTGATCCACCTCTGAACTCTCTTTGCCTCTTTTGTTTGTATGGACATATACATTTTTTTCAAAAATAACGCTAACTAACCTATCTCACCATCCAATATAAGATCTTATGAATAAATTTTGCACATGCATAATCACTCATAAATCACACATATCAAATAAGTCTAAATGTTTGTACATCCCATGAGAATCAAACTTTTCGAAAATCACTCTACAGTGAAACTCTCATGTTCAACTACGTGGTCACTGGACCACCAAGAGAGTATAGGAGGCATATTCACTCATATAAGTTATGTTCATTTCAAAACATTTCAATAAAAATAACTGGAAATGTATCACACTGCACACTAAAGTTACTATGATTGTTTACATAACAGCTGGTTCTTTTTTAGCTCATTCTTCTCATTTTTAGCTCTATCCTCCAATTATTTCAGCGAAAGAATAAAAAATATGGACAGAAAATGGAAAAAACCAAAGACAAATTCCAGCAAAAAAAATTCAGCACTGCAATTTTTTTTTGGGGGGGGGTACAATTTTCATGTGATTGGTCAATAAAATTTGCAAAAGCCAAAATGTTGAAAACAATGCATCTATGGATCCAAAGGAAGGAATATGTAAGGATGAAAAAGTTAATTGAGAATAGCAGTACATGAAACTGATACCTTTAATTTTATACGCTTGTGTAAAAAAATAAATAACTCATCAAAATTGATACCAACTTAAATTGACTCGAGTTAATAAAAATCAGCCGAGCAGTTGGTCTACGGGTTAAATTTCGAAACCCAATTAAACATTCAACATTTTACTCACAAAACATTTACTAGAAAAAATAAATAAAAATAAAATAAAATAAAATAAAATTCCATGTGATAGGGGTTAACTTTTGTAAATAAGCAAACCGGTAAATTACACTGACTACCCATATGATTTGTTGAAAATACAAATATCACATGCTAGTTTGAAAATACAAATAGTATCCTTGTAGTTTCTAAAATTACACTAATTACCCTGGCCAATAGGGTAATTATTTTAATAATTTGAATTAGTAAGGGCAAAATGGGGCTTTCAAAAAAAAATGAATTAAATCTACAATTTTCGTATGGTCAACTAACAATTCACTAATAAATGAGGAAATCTGTCACATTGATTATAAAGTGAATGCCTAAATTTTCAACATAACATATGAGATCACTGTAATTTACCCAAAGATTGTGCCTACTCTCTCAAAAACACACCCTACTCAACCAATTTCACAAAGATTGTTTTGTGAACTCATTAAATGCTCACTACAAGCATGAAATCCTGCTTATTCAAATATGAGTTCAATGCCCAACCAATCCTGCAAATTATTTTCACGAAATCAATTTCAAGATTCTATAATCCATATGCTATGCTCTTAAAGTTTTCACCATTCACTAGTAATAATGCTCTTCAAGATTTGACTACTCACTTGTAATATCAGTAATTCGGTAACAACCTCATTTACAATGATAATGTGAAACAATTCAATTTTCATTGTACATATATAAAAGTGCCTTTAATAAAGTTCTATATATAATCACTACAATAAGAGACCACCACTAGAAAATATATATATATATATATATATACACATTATAAATTGCCTATAAATAGTTGTACATATATATATATATATACATTATAAATTGCCTATAAATAGTTGTACCAAAGAAGGACTGATGATTCATTTGTGCTTGGTGAATTTGGAACCAAGGTTTGTCTGACATTGATAAAGGTCTCTAATATATCAAGCTTTGTGCCATTTTCAAGTCCTACATCTGTCTTCCCTCCTCTCTTTCTAATCAAAATAGAATAGAATGCTTAAAGAAGATAGCAATATGGAAAACAAGAACCAAATATGAAATAATTTTAGTAAAGAGTGACGGTAGGGTGATCATGTTTGGGTACTATTTGATGTCGCATTGTATGACACTAATCACATCATCTAAATTGTGTTTGGATCATGAAATGGAATAGAAATTTGTGGAGGGAAACAAATGGAAGGGAAAAGTGAAAAATAAAAGCTGACAATTTTGTCATTTTTTCCTATCATTTCCTCTACAAATCCGTAATCCAAGCACATAATAAAAGACTCCAACTTTTATCTACATTTCATCTCCATATAAAACGTCTCACACGTCACATCAAATGTTACCCTAATGTAAATACCCTAGATTTTTTTTTTTTTTTTTTGGCACGGCGTGTCCGGAAAATGTAAATACCCTAGATTACTCTTTAGTAAATGATGATTTGGATTGTATTGTCAAGTATGGATAGATAAGGCTAGTCATAACAATAGCTACACATCTTTAACTGCAAACATTTGAGTAGGTGATGGGGTTCCAAATAACACCAAACTAAGGCTCTATTTGGAAAAAAAAAAACGAATTGGACAGAGGCCAGATACATATAATAGAGTTCAAAATATTAGCAAAAAGATAATTGTAGAGTTTGCATCCTCTTCTGTTCAAAAGGGAACAACCTCTCCAGACCCAACTAATCCTAGGAGATTCTCATTTTGTCCTGCTTTTGCTAACTTCAATGGCAAATATTCTCTCACAGACTCTCTTTTTGGCTGTTAGTAGATTGAAAAGAAAAGCCAACTCCCCTACCCCTTAGAATCTTCACCCACCCTTGTAGGCTCAAGACTTCTCTCTACTTTTTCCTCCTTTCGTTTCTTTTTGATGGATAAAAGAGTGAAGTACGCCCAGTTTAGTCCCTAATGAATGGGGTCTGTAAGAGATAAATTGAGTACAAATCTAACCTTCACACACAACCTCAAGATTAGGTTCCCCAGTTACAAAATAGTAGATGAACTAAAATTGCAAGCAAGGATTAGCAAAATTCCTATTTTACCCACCAAAAGGAACAAGAATAAAGGGAAAGCAAGGAGTTTCAAGACTTTATTTATGTGATCATATATTTCTAGAGAACTGCAGACATTGAGTGTCAATGAGAGGAGACCAAGAAGATAACAGTACATTTGCACTTCAGCAATTCAAAAGAGAAGTTCTACTGGAAACAAAATTTAAAAAACAACCTTTATCAACTAACTGGGTGGCACAAACCATATTACTTTGCAAGAACATCAGGCCACTTCACACCCTTGTATATACAGCACCATGTGATCAATGATCAGAAAAGGAATTGAAGATATGACTAAAATAACAGAACTAGAAGCACATATATAACAGGATTATATGCACAGAAAAGAATATAACAACAGTTGCATCATACAATTGGATCTAGTGTGAAGAAAGGTCTGTCACTGATCGACACTATTGATCTTGATCTCTATGAGTTCCTCAATAGGTTGACGGCATATTGGGCACTTGTTTGATTGCAGCATCAATGTTTTTGCACACTCGTTGCACATACACTGCAAAATGCAACATTCTCCAGTCAGAAAATAATCAATTGAAGTCATGAAAACAAAAAAAACTTCTTCGTAGCATCTCATGCTAGACATTAGATATCAACTATCCACCCCGTTTTTTTAACATTTGTGGGTACAAATAGAGTAAGTAGGCCACAATTCTCTGGAAGTATGGTATTATAGGAGGGTTAGGATCAAAGTTGACTTAAACGAATCCACATTAGATGTCTCTTAAGGCATATATAGTTCATCAGAATGAACAAACATGCACTATCAGATAAGCTCAAGCACATGTGAGCACAAGGGCAGTTCAGGATTGAATTCATTTATGATTGTCTTTCATGATCCTGAGACTTCATGATTTAAACCAATCCACATATATGCCCAAGGCCATGAGCTTGCACCCATCACATGTCACTCATAATGGCTTATCATTTTGTCCTGTACAAATCCATGACCACTAGCATTACGGTTCACTGGACACCTGTGTCTTTTCTTCTTTTATTTTTTCTTTTTTGGTAATTGAGAGTGTATTATAGAGAACACCTACATCTTGATTGTCACTTGAAACAAATATTAATTTTCAGGGGGACTCTCACCATATGTCGACATGGAAGGACAGCTGTATCTTTAGGTTCAGTCATGCAAATCACACATATATTCCCTGGGTCATCATCCTTGAAGCTTTCTGGAGCTGAGTTTCCAATTCCAAATATCTCACGCAACTCATAGCGAACCCCGTCAATCCACAATATCTGCCTGACTACTCTCACATGAAAAGCTTTCTCATTGTTCCTCTGTATAACAGCTTGAGTAATCTGCATATGGGGGAACGAACTTGGTGGAGGATTGCCAAGATGTTCTTCTGTAGAAACAGAAGGCAAGCATGTTTCAGCAGAGATTACAAGTGGGAACACATCCTCTCCTGATGATGGTCTGGAAAGTTCATCCAACTCGAAGAAATTGAAGTCAATGCCTGTTCCAGAAGGCTGACAAAATTTCTGGCCAAGTCCTTTCTGGAAAGGAACTTTAACCGGCATATAGGCTTCAGGATATAGTGGAACAAATCTACAATTGGGTTCTTCCTTGGCAAAGTAGAAAATAGTGAAACTGTCCATCAGAAAGCGCGCATACAAAAAAAAATTGATGATAAGCAAAAAAGAACAGGTATTGTTCATATCTATTAAAAATCAAATAAATATGCTTCAGAAATTAATGGTATAAAAAATTCACATATATTTTATGAGTAAAAAAGCTTCCACTCCAGGATTTTCTGGAACTCAAAAAAAAATGTCAATTAACAATTTTCTTTTATAAGTAAAGACCTTCAGATAACAGGGATTTTCTGAAGCCAGTCATTAAAAAGACGATTAAATTAACTTCTGAAGCATTAACTGCTCCTTCAACTATACAGGTTAATCTTGCTTTGGCAATGTCAAGTTGCCATTGGGGCAATTCTTGACAAGCTACTTTTAGAGCACATTCACATTCAAACTCGAGATTTAAAATGTCTTGTTACACCATAAGAATGAACATAGAATTTAAACTGCACTCGTACCTAAAGATATCTATCTACATATAATAGAAGAATTCAAAGAATATGAAGAGGTAGCCATGAAAAATATTATCTAAAGACAAGATTATGATTGTTCTCAAGGTCCTCAAATTACATGCACGAATGACATTTTCACCAATCTCAGACAAAGCCATGACAAACATTAAACTTCTCACAAACAAATACAAAACGATTTTTATACGTCAAATGCTTGATGCATGGCTGAACAATATACCACTGTAACCATGAGTTGGAGAGCTTGACCTGACCTAATGATGTTCCAACATAATATTGTAGCCAAGCCCATCCGTCTACTGTGTTACGAAGTTTGCCATCATTTGCAAAGGCTATCTCCTAGCAAAGGAGAAAGTGAACTTAGAAATACAAGCTAATGAGAACAAAACTTCTGTTGGAAACGAGAGATATATAACAATCACTCAAACAACTTGGAAGAGAATTAACGGACAAACTGGAACCGAAACTAGAAATCTTTCATGCACTCATACTTCAAATGTTTATATTAAAACACTACATATAGATTTCACAATGCACCCATATTCTACTACATTTTGTAATAACAAAAAAGATTAACATACCACTAAAATCTTAACATACGACTCCTCCACTACTTGCAAAATTAGCACACCACTAACCCACTAACATCACTACAAGCAACCTCCTTAATTTGCAAAAAAACAGCTTCTTTGACAGGCTTGGTGAAAATGTCAGCCACTTAATCTTCAGACTTGACAAACTTGAGTGCCACCTCTTTCTTGGATACATACTCCATAATGAAACGATACCTAGTGCCGATGTGTTTGCTATGATCATGAAACATCAGATTTTTGGTCAATCTTGTTTTTTACCTCTCCAGTTCACCTCTAGAATTCTTCTTCATTTTGTACACCCATTTGACTACAATTGCCTTTTGTCCTCTAGGAATTGTAGCTTGTTCCCACGTGCCACTACTTTCAATGACTCCTATTTCTTCATACATAGCATGTCTCCACTTCTTATCTTGTGCCCGCTTCCTCAAATCCTATAGTTTCACAATCGAAAAAAGAGGCCAAAAAGTGTGAGACCACTAATGGTTGAAGTTGACTCTTCTGTAGAATCATAGATTTCTTGAAGGCTTCTCATGCGAGGTGGTCTTTCACTCAAACTTGCTTCATGTAATAGAGTTACTTGAACATGAGAAGGCAATGGTGGTGATGGTGGAGGAGAAATGGGTTGCTCCAAAACATATATTCTTACTCTTCTTCCTCAAAGTATGGGAAAATCAAAATCTTCTTGTGGAATATTCCAATCCTCTTCCCTTTAGTTCATCAAAATCACATCTCTACTTACAATTGTTTTTCCATTGCTCAGGTTGTAAAGCTTGTTGCCTTGCTTCTTGAATCATAACCGATAAAAACAAATTTCTCACTTTTGTCATCTAACTTGTCTGTTTCTCATCTAATACATGTGCACATGCAAGACTACCAAAGACCCACAAATGAAACACTTGTCTAGATTCCTTCCCATACAACTTGAGGTGTTTAATCATGAATACTTCGACCAATGGTTTACTTCGACCAATGGTTTGGTCTACGTGGCACTTTAGACCTATGCTTTCAATTTGCACAAATAAGACCTTGTGATTTTAATTTTTTTGCAATGTAAAATCTCCATCCAACAGAAGGGGGAAAAAAAAAAAAAAATTGTGAAAAAGAGTAAATGGAGGGCATAAGAGTAAATTTTCCTATTACTCATCTAATGCAAATGGCTCATACAATTGTACATGGGCAAACCCATTAAAATTAATGTTCATTTTCCTATCTAGATTCCTTCCCATACAACTTGAGGTGTTTAATAATGAATACTTCGACCAATGGTTTACTTCGACCAACAGTTTGGTCTATGTGGCACTTTAGACCTATGCTTTCAATTTGCACAAATAAGACCAATGGTTTGGTCTATGTGGCACTTTAGACCTATCTCTCTTATTTATCTTCTAATGGTGGCATAGGGTTAAAGAGAGAAATCCTGGTGAGTTGATGGATTTGCCTATTGTGGATAGTTGATCCAGAGAGTAAGCTTTCTAGGAAGATGATATGCATGCACTGTGATGGCTTGGGTCCACCAAAGGTGGAAGAGATAAGAGTTGAAGTAGCCCTGGAAAGGAAGAGGTGGCAATAGAGAGAGAGAAAGCTTCCAAGCCTGCAGGAGGAGAGAAGGTACTTTGCATGATAATTCGCATGTATGAAGGAATTCCCTTGCATGGGGAAGTCAAACCATGGAGTCAACTTAGCCAAGCATAGTATCCCATATTAGGGTACAAGGGGCTTAACACCCTTGGTTTGACAATTCAGAGGTCTCCCAACATCCAAATGTGTCTATGATGATACCTTGGAGGTCATAGACATAGGATCGCAGTGGGTGGGTATGTTGGCCTCAAATACTGTATCATGACCCCACATTAGTCAGGTATAATGCATCCATCAAGATGTCACGTCTTGATCAAAATCTCTCTCTAAGATTTGTCAAGATGGAGCACGAGGGAAAGCCAAGAAATCCTAACAACCCCTCTACTCTAGCCTCCAAGCCACATACCTCTAGTTGATCTAAAACAAGATTACTAGACCCTACTCCTAACTTAGCCTACAACAGTAGCATCAACATACTTATAAACTGAAGATTTGTCCAATTAAGGTCGATTGATGTGCGTTGCTCGGTGGAGATGGCCTACCACAACCCGCTCAGTCATGTCAATATCAAGCAGATGGAGAAGGAGAGACACAACAGGAGATAAGATAACAAGGATGTAAGAGGGCACTCTCAGTAGAAGAATTGACTGACCGAATCAGTGCATGCTGAGCCCGTCATTAGTGAGCAGAGAGTTGCTTGCTTGATTGGAGTGCCCTCGGTCGAGCCAAGGTGATGCTGCTAGCTACCAATTTGGAGCATTCCTTGTCCTTAAGGCATGGGCTTAGGGCAAAGGGCACAGCATGCACTTGCCTCAGCCAGCAAGACTCGCCCCCAAGGGGAAGCATGTGGAGCTACACTATTGGCCCATGTACCACCTCACAAGGTTGACATGTGGCACTACATTTCCAAGAGATGCCAATGTGGAGATGACATGGTGAAGTTACGTGGAGGATCAAGAAGTGGATACCTACACCCATTCAAAAATGGGTAAATCCATCAGATTATGGATTTATATTACTAATACTATCTTCAATTTGCTGGTTTCCGACTCTTTTTATAATAGAGTTGGACGCAACAATCACAACAGAAGAAAAGTAAAATCTCTAAGTTTATGTGAGCAAATTGTACATACAACTTACAAGTCCTAAAATGTTTGTCGATTCAAACCATGGGACTGATATAACAATTTTCCCCAATTATTTCTTGTGTTAAGTTCTGGACTACCCAGATGCATGGTTTTTTTTTGTTATCAATTTCACCAGTTAATCCAACTCAAATAATCAGCACAAAAAAAAAAAAAAAAAAAAAAAAAAAAAAAAAAAAAAAAAAAAAACAACCAATCAATCAATCAATATTATCTAACCTAATCCACACAAAGATTCAAGAACTTAATCGATAGAAATACATGCATAATTTTCATCAAAATCCTTACTTTACCTCCCATCAAACAATGCATCGAAAACAAAGGAGACCAAATGGTGATCAAGGTTCTGCTGATCAACCTCGAGCCGTAACGTATCCTTATGCACATTCACATCATTCCTGACCTTCTTGGCCTGCTGGTGGTCAACATACGGCGGCAGCGGCGGCGGCGGCGGTGGCGGTGGCGGCGGACCCACCATCATCATCATCGGAGGCCGAATTCCAGCCCACCCATTGTTCTGATTAGGGTAATTGGGACCAAAATTGGCCCGACCCATCATAGGATTGGGGTAATTGCACGTACTGTACCCACCAGAGCTGTAGTATGAAGAGTAAATTGGAGGCGGTGGCGGCGGATTTGCAGAGCCATGAGGAGGCGGAGGAGATGGAGGATGAGTATATGAAGAAGAAGAGGAAGAAGCAATGAGTTGAGAAGGGTTTTGACAGTAATTGTTGTTTCTTCTTCTGTTGTTGTTGCTGCTGCTGCTCCATGATGAACCCATGTTTCTAGTGAGAGAAACTAGAGAGAGAGATTGAAGAAATAACGTTGAAAATTGTGTGCAGATGAGATGAGATGAGATGAGATGAGATGATCAAAGGAAGTTTATACTATTAAGGTGCTTCGATGGATCCAAACGCGTCGCTTTGGACTCTTCTCCTATCTTCTCTCTCTCTTCGCCGTCGTTGAATCGAAAATCGTTTGGGAGTTTGGTTTTCAGTTTATTATATATTTTTTCTTTTAAAAAATCAAATTTCAAACACATTCACTCGGTGAGATATATATATATATATATATATAATTATATGGAATTAAACAATTATAATCAAATAAAAAAATTAAACAATCAAGAAAATATATAATAAAATCAACTTTTTTCAAATGCAATAATTGTACTACTAAAAAAAGTTGGATTCTCTAAAAGGGACCATTATTTTGGGACGGAGGGAGTATATAATAGGACAAGTCAACAAAGAATGCGCATAATTAAAGATGAATACTTAATTTTAACCTCTAAAATAAAAATATATAGAAATTAAACTAGTCCAAATGATTATAGGTTTATATAATTAGGGTTCTTTATTTTCTGTTTATTTCATTTATTTATTTATTTATATTTTACAATCAGTGAGAATAAAATAAAGGAAAAGAAGTTTTGATAATGGAGATTTGATGTTACAACTCCCTTTAAAATTTTCTTAACAATGGCTGTCATCATAATAATAATTATTTACAACTCCCTTTAAAATTATAAATGTGACTAATGACAGCCGAGAAACTTCACAATGGGGTTATAGATTTTTCCTGAAAACAATTAACACATCATACAATTTTCAAATGTTTTTTAAGCAGTCAATTAATCGAATTCAAGTATGGTCCATATAAATAATAATTTTTTTTTTTAAGACTATCTAAAGATATTAACCAGTCGTAATGTAATGCTAAAAATTTAAGATTAATATCTTTTTTATATTAATTTATTTTTAGAGAGCTAGATAAATAAAATATCTTAATATTAATATTCGATCATTGACTAAAATCTCAGGGATAAAATGTATAAATTGCAATAATATATATATATATATATATATAACAATGTTAGAATCTCGAACATTTTTTATATGTAAACATATATTGTTGAATTAAACAGATCATTTATGCTCATAATATAAGAATATATATAATTTCTGTTAGAGAAAGGTGACTGCCTTTATTCAATGTACTTTCAAAAAAAATTTGTAAACACTTTTGATTAATGACCAGAAATTATCTAGGCAATAAAATTTCTCAAGAAAAAAAATGAAGATCCAAAAGTCTTACTATTTTTCATTCCTCTGATTCACATGTAGTACATTTGTAGTATAACTATAACACATTAAAATCTTCAAAAACCAACAAAAATAAAAGGCAAAACCCAAGAACAAAGTGCAAAACAGAAACAAAATGAAAACAAATTCACAAAGATGCACTGCAAATCCCATCTGATGCATACATAAACTTGCTAAGTAAACAAGAACAATTTCAACAAATCTCCGGCCTCACTTTCTTGCGAACCGATATGCATCCTCTCTGATGGTCTCTGAAGATTCTGATCTCTGAACAATCTCTCAAGTCCTCGAGACTAATGTATTGTTGCTTCACCATCCTTGAGAAATTTCCCACTGTTTCATGTATCCAAATGTAAGGATGGCACGTCTCATCGTAGTAATACAACAAGCTCCTCACTCCTCCACCATTACTACCACCACCACTGCCGCCTCTGCCACCACCACCGCCACTACTAGGCATGTAAGCCTTGTAAATGCTCTTGCATTTCAGTCTCTTTGAAGAACCGGGCTTCAAAGTGTGAACCCTCTTCAATATCGATCCCACCCTTATTTGAAGCTCCACAGGCTTGTCGCTAAGGTTCCAAATCCTCGTGCCATGCCCTGAAACTTGGGTATGATCACGGCATCCATTAAAGCACCTCACAAGCGAAAACAGGCCTAACCCTTGCATTTCTTCAAAGGGGGTTTGAGAAACCAGGCTAGTCTTTGAAACTCTCATACTTTGTGTTATAAAAGATCTCTTTGGCAACTTTTGTGATGCAATGTATAATATACACCTTAACTTTCTGTATTCTAATGTTCTAGTCTTATATTGGGTGACTGTTATCATTGGATTGTGGGTCACCCAAGAGGTCAGTAGTCAATTCTTCGCACTTGATCATACAAAACAATAATGCTATAAACACAAAAAATTTAAAGATAAGTGCACAACATTGTATTCACCTTGGTAAAATGTGGACCCATATAGAATGAACGCAATACTGACAATACGATAATGATTGTGGTCATTGGATTGTCAGTAATCCAAGATGGCCACACATTGACTGTTCACTCCTGATCATACAAAACAATAGTGCTACAAACACAGAAAAATGCACAAAATGCAATTATACACCTTTTTTTTTAAAACAAAAATACAGTAGAAATAGGTGATACACAATTATGCCATAGAAGTTTTGTTCCCTATAAATTTGGCTAAGTTTGAGGGAAGTGGTAGGGTCCCCAACCCTGCAAATTCCACACAAAGAGACAGTGGGAGAGAAAAGTGAGTATGGTAACAAAAATTGATGAACTTAACAACAACAGGGCTTGTTCTTTATTGTGTAGCTTGTATTTTCAAGTAGGAAAAGAGAAAGAAAAAGAACTCACAATGAAACCAAAGCTTCATGTGTAGCTTGTATTTTCAAGTAGGAAAAGAGAAAGAAAAAGAACTCACAATGAAACCAAAGCTTCATGATGAGGTTGGATATGATGTTGCTTCACCTTTCATCATTAGTAGTTTTTGTGTCTTTTGATTTACTTTTCTTCCAAGTCTCAGACAAAGGTCTTCCCTCTTCACTGCACAAAACAATTCAAAACAAATATAATATGTTGAGGTGGTTCTGATACTGACCCACAATCCACTTGGTGGGTGGTGGCCACACAGTTTGGTTGTGATCAATCAGTCTTCTTAGGGAGAAAAAGTTCATTACAACAGACCATAATGGTGGTTAGTGGTGGTTGAACAAGACCAGAGGACACAACCTTGCAAACACAATAAAAATTAAAACCCATTCAACAAAGGTTACAATAGGAATGGGAACGGTTTGAGGCGGAGCAGGACCCGGTTTGTGGTGTTCCGTGTTTGCCCCATTCCTTTTCAAGGCGCAAAAATCAAGGTGGCAGCAGTTGAGGGGACAGGACAAGAGAAGAGAGGTGCTAAGGTAATTTGCCACATTTGATAGGGAGGATGGTGCTAATGAGAGAGATGAGATAGTATATAAAGGACAACCATTGATGAGTAATGAGAACTAGGGCTATGTAAAATACTATCTAATCCGTTAAAATCGCACCGATCCGCATCAATCCACATCGCTCTAACGGCTAACCACGATTTAAACTTTAAAATTTATAATCCGTCAATCGAACTACTCCGCTATAGTTAATACATACATATTTTTTAATTTCCAATGAAATATCAATGTAAAAATGAGTGTGAAAGAGATTTAAGAAATGAAATTTATCACAAATTAGTGGTTATATATATGAAACATATTATGTAAAATTACTTTGTGTTATATATCTAAAAATTATTATATAAATTAGTGTTATATATTATGCAAATGTATAATACTTAATTAAAATATTCTTCAATCCGTCAAAAACCGTCCAAACCGCAATTTATCAATCCGCTAACCCACCATTCGATTTGTAATTTTACTCTCAAACCACCCGAACCGCACCGCGCACACCCTAATGAGAACTATAAATATTTAAAATAAGATATAGAGGTAATATATATATATATATATATATGAATGTTTTAACATGTTGCACCTATTATACATGTAAGATATGTGATTAATATTAATTAGAGCGAGGGTAGAGAAAACAGACTGAGAGAAGCAAATCCCATCCCCTCCCTGTTTTCTTATCAGAAAAATCGGTGGAAGATAAAGTGAGAAATATGAGGCGGACAAATTATCATCCCCAGTTTATAAGCTAAATTTTTCCTGCCATCTTCCCGTCATGAAAGACATTATGAGCAATCGACAAAATCATTGAAATACAATTCACAGAACATTGCTGCCAGTAACTATTTTGCAGAAACTTTTATAGCATTGCAGACAAAACCAAGCAAATAAGCGCGCTTAAAAACAATGTGCATTGGGAAAAGAATTATTTCATAAATTCTCTCAAATTGACAAATTCTCATTACAGAAACATACACAATGGAACAGTCTTACCAATAAGCTAAGACATAACTGTCCAAAACTACGTGAGAAGCAATGTGACTGTACAAATTAAGAACAACCATCTCTAGACATGTCAAATACAATGAGATGAAGCATAGACTTCTAGAAGAAAGGTAAAGAATGTACAAATAACAAACTTTTCATTTTTCTTGATCGTCTTGAGGAGGGTCTATCTTCATCATAAGTGGCTCGTGGAGATCTGCTGTTGGATCAGCCACAATGGGTAGCTCTGGTGAGGCTACAACGCTATCTATAGCTTCATTTTCAGCCAGTGCTTTGTCCAAGGCGGTCTTCGCTACTTTAGTAACACAAATCAGTAGCACAACTGCGCACAGAAAAAACAAAAAAGAATATGAAGTGAATTTCCAGATGATAGATATAAAAGTGTGCTAATCACACAGGTTTACATTTTATTAATCGATTTACAATTTTGTTGTTAACTAAAAAAAATTTATAACATGTAACTTTGTTAGGTAGCAGTTAGGTGATAGACGATAGTAGATTGAAGATCCATTTTCTTTCTACCAATTTTTCCTCTCAATATCTTTTTCTTTATTTTTGGAGCAAGAACACTGTTTCCATTTTCTTTTTTCTTTTTTAATACCTTTTTCCAATCTAAAGGGTGGCTTGGCATAAAGGTAAGGCTTGTTGTTAGCGTCCTTAGTGTAGGTTCGAGTTACAAAAACCTCCTCTCCAGAAATGGGAGTAAGGCTGCATCTTGCCCTCTCCAAATCCCGCCGTGTCAGTAGGAGCCTCGTGTACTAGGTTACCCTTTTATATATTTTCCAATCTATAAGATTGATGATCTATTGCAATTTCTACTCTATGATTTTTTATTTTTTTTGGATAAATATTGCAATTTCTACTCTATGATTACATTAACAGTCAATTCATAAGATGGAAATTGTACAAATTCATCATAATAAAGACATTTCATGCTCAACTTAAACTTTATATATGTAGTTTACTTAAAGATGATTTCAATGGATTGACTTCTATTTATCCACAAATAAAGGAACTTCAGAAAGACTACTTCAAATTTCCATAAAAATAATAATAACGTTAAAAGTACTAAGGTAAACAAAGTAAACAAAGAATACTAATGTAGCCCAAATTATTTACAAGCTTCCAGTATTTCTCTGAGTTCATTTGATATTTTATAATAATAACCGACCTATTTAGGTCTAATAGAATGGTTATGTCTTTTTCTAATAAGCTATTATCAGCCAACCACTTAACAATGTGAAAGAAGTTACTGTACGTCAGAGTTAGTGAAAAATAACTGAATCTGCGCAAATTGAAATAAATGAAGGTCCATGCAGAGTGCATGTCATCTCCTAGGGTGAATACATTACAAAAACATTCATATATATGTTAAATAATTATATGTATGTAAATCCATAAATTGCAACTCACCAGACATCACAAGGCCTGATATAATTAATGCCTGCATGAATAACAAATGAGCAAATGTCAAAATTCATGAAGAGATTTTAATACAAGCTTTGTAAAAATAAAAACAGTGCCCTCCAAGCACTTAACTGACCCCAACTATGAAAAATTGTACTGTGGCAACTTGCAACACCTTTGACTAAAGGTGCTCATACACCAGTCCTCAGGACTCAATTTCAAAATTTTGAGTTCTGAGTCTCATCTAATCTAGAATAAGCAAATTCTAAGCCTAACCCCAATCAATAACTACCCTTACTGCAGAATAACCACAACTATAACCAAGTTATATATATATATATATATGGGAAACAAAACACAATACTTTAAGGCTGTTGAACCATGAGCCAGTATATTAACTCATATATGCATGCATATAACGAGCAAAACCATGTATCCAGGAAAAGCAGTTTCCAATTCATAGACCAAAATATGGCTGAAACACGGTGAAACATAACACTAGAGCTGGCTCAGTAAATGTACAGTTCTTACCTTTAATTGATCCTTTCAAGACACACAAGCCAATGTCACAATGTCAAATCTCAGTGAAAATTAGCAGGAGAAAAATGTCACAAGAAAATAACATATTTTGGAAAATATGTGAAATTGAGAAACTAAATTGTGTGTTTAAAGGTCTAAAAAAAAAGTGACTCTGTTTCATACATATAAAGTAACCAATGGCTACTTAAATGATACAGAGAGAGAATTACTTCAGAAATTTAATGCATTGAATCAATCAAATGACCTGTTTGATTAGAAAACAAACCCATTGCTCTCATTTAAATCACGAGAAAAGAAAAAGGAATGTTAAAATGAACTTAACTTTCCTAAACACAAAATCAACAGGTGGAAAAAAAAAAGAAAAAAAAAGGGATAATGTAGCACTTACCCAACGAGCTTTTGAAAACTCATGCCATCCATGTGTTACATCAGAAAGATCCTTTAGAGTTGTTCCAACATATACCAGCGCAAAAGTAATAGGCTGTATCATGAACCATAGAAGATACATCAGCGAGAATAAAGAAAATCAACTAAATAAGTAATAGGGAAGAAGAACCCATGACTATGTATATGAACTGGTCAATCCCAACTTTAACAAAATAATAACAATTTTTTAAAAACTCAGAAATATAAAAGGTAGCTAGTAATTATTGTAATTTAACTTAAAGAGCATGTGATGATTACAAAGAGTGAAACAAATATATGGCCATCTTAAAGTAACAGTAGTTCAAGGGAGATGTCGATACCATCATGCCCAACCATGACGCCAGTGTGTACTCTCCCAGTGGAACTGGAGTCACGCACAAGAGGTAATTCAACATATTGAAGGGAAGTACAGGAACAAGCCGTAGCAGCAAGACAATCTGCCAAAGAGATAAGAAAGTTTAAAAACCTTAACATGGGGGATAATGAAACAATAACAATTATAATAATAAACAATACTAATAATAATACTAACAATAACAACAGCAATAAAAATTAACAATAACAATAAGAACGAAGGGTAGGACTTCAATCACCGAGGCCAAAGTATATAACAATGACAATTCTCAAGCATACAATACACGAGTTCCTGTCAATTATGAAGCTAGAGTTTCCAGAAGCTGCATTTTGCCATTGCCTTTAAAAGCCAAAGTATATTATAGAATCACCATTTTAAACCCATTTTATTGAAAGTAAGCAGAGAACTCGTCTTCAGGTTTCATTTTACTCATTAATATATTCTCGGGTCAACATTAAGGATTGAACCCTTATCCCACCTAACGGATGACATGCTTGCACCACCGTGTCAACGGATTTAGCCTCAGGGAACTCCTTATCCTTCCACTTTCTCAAGGCATTCACAGAAATTCTTACATATTTACTTTCATGGAACCATGAACTGATAATTGAATAACACAACTGACAATAGGAGACAACAGAAATCCACAAATCATATATGAAACACATACAGACCTTAAATCCTGATCTCTGAATAGCAATTGCAACTGCCCGGAATTGTGGGTAATCCTTTAACTTGGAAGTAACATATGACCTCCCAATCTGTTCAGAATATTTGATGAGATTTAAGGCATTTAAAAAGAAATCAACATATAAAAAAAATATAAAAGACCAAGACTTCTTTTATGTTTATCTTTTTTTGTTTTCAATAACCAATAAAATACTACAAAAGTAAAAATAAAATATCAAAATCTAAGGTTCCCCAGGAGAAAAGACTTCAAAAGAGCAAAGAGTACAGTACTAGATGAAAAGAATATGTAGCCACTACAAATTGTTAAATTTTCTTTCTAAAAAATAATGTCATTTATGAACAGGGCAATATCCCTCTATAATCACTGTTAAATAGAGAACAGTAATATAAATAAGGCACTTATACTTCCACACATGAGCCTATAACTATGTGGGACCCCCAAAAAAAAAGCATCAATAGATCTTAGAAGCTTACTGTTTTGCCAAGAAGAAAAGCAGCTACTGCACCAAGAGTAGCACCAATAGAATCAGCAACAAAACCCACAGGCAAGCCAAATAGATAGCCACCTCCAAGCTGGAAGAGATCAGGTATGCATAAGATTCCATTAAATTGGGAGTGGGAAGAAAAAGTAGTGTTTCTCAAACACGCATTTCTCAGGAAGGTTCAAACAGTCATGAAATTTGAGACAACATAACACAAGAAGAAAATGAATACAAAACCACAGAAAGATGAAGGTAGATACCCTAAACAGCAATTAGTGAGGCTAATAAAGAAATTAATTACATAAAACTGAAAGTCATCTTCAATGAGAACGAATTGAGGCAGTCAGCCTATTTGAAGTCCTTTTAATTGTCAAACTAACTATATAAGATTAGCCCGAGTTATGCTACAACCATCTTTCAAATCCAAAACCAACTTTCAAATCCAAAACGTAAGTAAGATTGGATTTGAAAGAGGTCATAATATCCTAAAGCCAAAGGGTAACCATTATATTAGAATTATGCCTGCTATTAGGCCCATTGAAATCAAAGTATGGTTTCACATGCTCAAGGACCATTAGGTATGAGGCAAAGAAAAAAAAAAACTAGGAGTCATTGTGATATAGGCTGAGCTTCTAGTAAAGACACATGGGCTGTGTTTGGTGAGGCTTTGTAATCAATTTTTCACCCACGGATTTGAATGCTACGTTTGGTTCTAGTTTTCAAAAACCATTTCCACACCCGCATTTGAAAACTCGTCTACCTGGTCATCCCCCCGGATGTCCGGCCGATTGACCTGAACAATTTTTTTTGGTAAATTACAAATACATCTCCTGGGATTTGCTTAAAATACGAATTGTTCCTGTGATTTGAAAAATTACAAATACCTCATTGTCAGAATTTTTTATTTAACAAAATTAATTGAAAAAGTGAAATTTCTAACTGTTCACCTATACAATAATAAAATTATCTGAATTATTAATTGAAATAAAATTATAACATTATTAAAAACAGTTAATTAACTTGATGATTTATTAATAAAATGACCTATTTGTTATGAAATTAGAAACCTTAGGGGCATAAGGTAATTTCTAGAACCACAGGGGGGTAATTTGTAATTTAAGTAAACCTCAGGGGGTGTGTTTATAATTTACCTTTTTTTTTTTTTTGCACCTATTATTTTTATATTTTAAATAAAAAATATTTTCGAAATTTTTTTAAAATTTTTTATGAGATGTGAATAGAATTTTGGATTGTGTGTTTGGTTATAAGTTATAAATTTTTTAATCAAATATCATGTCACATCAAAATTTTCAAATTCAATTCAAAACTCTCTTCAAAACTCATAACCAAACAAATTTTCCTCACTTAAATCATAACTCCAAAACTCACAAATTCAAAATACAACTCTATTCTCAAATCATAATTCTAAAACTCTACCAAATGCTACCATAGTATACCAAGCCCCCATTTTCCAAAACCTAGCAATGAGAATAAAATACTAACTGATAAATATGGATATCTCTGGAATTTTGGTTGTTTTGGAATTGTCAACAAACTAACCAAGACTAACGAATGGACAACACAATATATTAAAGTGCAAGTAAAGAAATAATTTAACTTCGATGGTTCAAAGTAGGATGGCGGAAAACAATCTAAAGAGAGCAAGATAAAGGAAGACTATTATTTAACAGATGCTTAAAATTGTCCCACTGAAATCCCAGAAGCATAACTAGATTGATCCGTATAAGAACAGGCATTTAATTGTTACAGTATGTAAACAGGAAAAATTCTAAAAATGATACATACAGTAAGTACTGAAGCTGGAACTGCCATAACGGTTAGAGGAATATATGCAACAGCCCTGCAAAGTTTCCCAAGTACATGCATGTTAGAAGGTGCAGAAGTTCAATATTACAAAAATTATGCTCCCGTCCAATGCTTATGCCTAATTTAATATGCTGTAGGCAGCCCAGAAGCAACCTAAAGTAGAAAGTTTTCTAACAAAATTGAGATTGCAAACTGTTATACCACCAAAAGTCCCTAAAGCTTAAACTATTAGCAAATTGGAGAAACAATGTGTATCAAGCCATGTAACAACCCCCTCAGTTGCGAACTCAGCCCACACGTGGAGAGGCAAACAAACATTGCGCGAACTATAGTGTTTAAGGTGCACAACCATACACAAAATATAGTACACGATATCAAACATAACAGGGAAACAAATATATAATATGAGACCTGAAACCAACTCTCACCAACATGTGCATTTTCATTACAGACCAACCCAAACAATGGCCATCTCCAAATTTAGACACTAGACTCTGTATATCTGCAATCCTCGCATCCTTCCCTTCGGCTTGCCAAACTAGGCTACTAGAGATACATCAGATTCTTATTACCATGCAAATCTGCATGAAGTAATGTAAAAGAAAAAAGTATGATATAACTCTTCTAATAAGGTACTATCATAAACTTTGGCAACTCACTACAGTATTCCCACCAAATTCAATACCACCAGCCATCAGAAGTCCCAATTGCGTCAAAGATAGTAATTAGGAACACAAAGAGATAGACTTGTTGGTCAGCAGATACAACATGAGAAAGTGGCAGATCACTTACAGTGCAAGTGGACCCCAAGGCCCAAGATCTTGCTCAACCCATAGTAAGAAGTCTTTCAATATCTGCATGAAGAAATTCTTTCCATAAATATAGCCCGACGCAAATCAAATAACTTTAAAAGATTAAGGTTCATCTACAAAGAGCGATATGATGTTAGAATTGTTTTGTTAGACGAGATACTCTAATCTACCAAATTACACTGCAGATGAAAAATCAAACCAGAAATTGTTTTGATAACCAAAGTACCATTACATAAAAGATTTAGCATTGTTAATTATAATACTCAAATTTCATCACGCGAAACCTTCAGGGGTGATGCCCAATATAAGTACAATATTTAGCAAAGCAACAAACCAAAGATTCTAAATAAGCGATCCTCTCAGAGCGGTACATAACATCTACCAAGATTCTAAATTTTCTTAATTCATTTGACATAACATTAAACAACTATGCAACAAATAAGCGAAAAATAATTAATTAGTACAACAAACAAAATACGAGAACCCTATGTAAAAGATTGAATAAATAAATAAATAATTTTCGATGGAGAGAATAAGACCCATCAATGTCAACAAAGCATCAACAATTTAAACAGTCACTGACCCAATTAACCAAACAACAACAATCTCAAAAAACTAAACTAAAAACAGCCCCAAAAATTGTCATTAAAACCCACATATAAATAATCAAATTCAGCACACAAACAATAAAACCCGGATAAAAAAAAATGGAAAATGGACAAATTTGATGAAAAGGGACAAGACCCAGATGCGAAAATAAGACCTTTTCAACGGGGAGAGTGAGGAAAGCGGTGGTAGTGGCGGCAAGGAGGAGGAGGAGGAGAGAGATTTTGAAGAAAGAGACCCAATTGAATGCCATTGATAACAAGGTCTACACTCTCTGGTATGGTTTGTTTAAACGACAAGCGAGGTCGAAGCTCTATCTCTATCTCTATCTCTATCTCAACTTTTGAACCCGCCTATGGAGATACAGACCAATTGGATCGGAATTCTGGGCAAGTTCGTTGATTTAGGGTTAAGCTCTCGCTCTCTCTCTCTCTCTCTAACTGCGTGTGAAGACCGTAACGCAGACAATCGAACCCGTGACAACAAAATTCAACAATATTCTCTCACACGGTGACGTATCGCGCCCATGCACTTCATTGGCCCGGGCCGGGTCGCAAAAAAAATGTGGTCAAGCCCGCCCGCCAGCGAGTTAAGTCCAGCTGTTACTTTTAACAATAGAAAATGCATTAGACCCCTCGTGAGGGTGCTGGCGGTCTGTTTTGATTGGTTAAAAAATTATTATTTTTTTTCCTTTTTCTTCTCCATTGGCAGCCCCCCACGTGGGGGTGCTGGAGGTCCTTCCGTACTGGGGTCTCCAGCATCAATAATGCTTGAGAGCTTGAAATTATCGAGGTTCAACTGTCTTGAATTTTAAAACGGTACTGTTTTGAATTTTTTTTTTCTTCTTTTTTCTCTGAAATAGGGAGCAGAGGGAAGAGAGAAGAGGGACAGGGAGAAAGAGAGAAGTGGCGATGGCGAGGCGATGGCGGCGCAACGGAGGCGATGGCATGACGGTGATGGCATGTATATATTTTGTGTGATTTTGGATTTTGATTTGAGTAGAGACAAATCACAATTCGGATTTTGGATTTGGTTGAGGTATATATATACAAATCCGTGTATATATTTATGTGAGGTTGGATTTTATCTTTGGATTTTGGATTTTGTATACACAGATTTTGGTTTGAGCAGAGACAAATCAAAGTTTAGGTTTTGGATTTGGTTGAGGTATATATATACAAATCCGTGTATATATTTATGTGATTGTACGGGGAGCAAATATTCCAGCAAGCCCGTACTCCTTTCTTCCAAGCCCTTGCTTGTCCGATCGACCTACGAGCACAACGGCGATGAGCTACCCGGCGGTGTGTGGCCGGAATACCCCATCCGACGATCAAGTTAGACACACACAGGGATAGAGAGAGAGGGAGAGGATTGAGTGTTTAGTGTAAACCTCACCAAGTGTTCATCTGTCTCCGCATGGAGGACGCAGACTCGCTTATATACCTTCTGCGCCCCAAATCTACTCTCATTAGTCTCTCGACACGTGGTGCTGCTATCTCATCTGTCAGTGCAAGTCTAGCTGAACATCACCTAACCAAACTGCCAGCCCATACTACTGGGAGCTCGGCAGCCGGGCTGCAATATCTCGGCTGCCAAAGGGCGTGCTGTATTGCTAGTTAGAGTGCTCCGCTCGCCTAGCTCAATGACGACCGAGCTCAGTTGCATTCCGGCATAGCCGAGCTCGGGACAGCTCATGCTGGTTAGCTGTCGACCTTCCTGCCGGGCTAACCCACGAACCGTGGAACCCAGTGAGGCAGCGGACATCTCGGTCGAACTATCATTCGACCGGTTTCTGCACCCTGAAGCCAAATAGCTCGGTCCAACCATGCCTTGCCTTAGCCGAGCAAAACCTTTCTGGACAGGCCCATGCTACCACGGCCCAACTGTGTTCGGTCCAAATCTGCCCTGCCATTACCACGACCCAATCCAGATTATAAATTTCCCTCTCAATTTCCCCTTAATCCCGTCCGTGCAAGCGTGACTGGGATTATTTGTTCTGACCAGGGTAAACTCTTCCTTGGTCCTCGGTTTGCAAGACGATAATTGGGCTAGTTAATATGACTGGCTTCCGAACTTGCCCGGTTGACGCCTCGACTTGCCATCCTGTCTCCTCTGTACTGACGCCGCCGTCAATAGGGACACGTGTCGCTCGCTCATTGGCCTCGAGCAGCCAACCATCACGTCCATTCACATTCAAATTTTTTGGTGGTTCTTCAACCCTACAAACGTGCCATATCCCCCTTTATTTCACTCTTACTGACTCCCCTTCAACCTTCGACGTTCCAGAGCTCCAACCTCCATTCTTGTTCCTCTTCTCCGTTCGTACGTGAAGACTCATATTCAACCCCCTTCCTAGTAAGTCCTTCGAGCACTTTATTGCTATTTCATTTGATATTTCACATATTAGGGCACAAAATCCGTAGGTTTTAGGACATAACCCTCCCAAAACCCACATTTGCCCCTATTCTTTTCGCTGTTCTTCAATCCTAGTGATGAACACATGAACACATGAAGATCTGGAGTGAACCGGGCTCCTGGTCTTCTTTTGATCCAAAAAACAATTAGACCGAACAATTTACAAATTTGCCAAAACCTTAGTAGAAACCAAGGTAGGCAGAGGACTTGGCCGCTCGATCGGGCTAGCAACTGGTCTGCTTGAGCGACCGAGCTCCTTGGTTTGCCTTCGCGACCGAGGTGGTCTGGAACTCTTCATGACCGCGCTTCCACTTACACTTGCCATCATTTTTCTACAGAGTCCAAGGGGACCACTGACCAATTACCGAGGCTCTCAAAGACCGAGCAGCCATTAAACTCCAGTTTGTGCCAAACCACCTCAGCCGAGCTAAACCAGCTGGCTACACATGGGGCGTTTTCGCTTCCTTGTTGATACTCCGACCCATGGTTTTAAAAACCGGACCGGACCGGCCGGTTCAACCGGTTGAACCGGTGACCGGATGGGGTTCCGGTCCGGTCGACCCTCTTAAACCGGCCATTTGAAAAAACCGGCCTATTTTTTGAAAACCGGTGAACCCACCGGTTAAACCGGTGAACCGGTCGACCCGGTCACGGGTTGATCGAACCGGTTCGGCCCATTTTTTTTCCCTGTTTTTTTATTTTCTTTCTTTCTTTTCTTTCTTTCTTATTTTATATATATAATAAAATTTTAATATATATATAATAAAAATTTAATTGGAAACTCTCTTTTAAGGGTCTCCTCTTGTGAGGAATCCCATTGAGAGCTTGAAATTATTGTGAAAGCTTCTATCTATTTATAAGAAAAAAATTCTTCCAAAAAACTCAAGAAATCTATGTGGGATTCAATCAAATTCATTGGAGGGAAACTTAAAATTTGATATCCCTCCAAAAATTTTGCTCTTCTTTCAATCAAAGTGTTTGAATTAAAATCATATGGAAGGAATATTAAATATTTGATTTCTTCTTCCAAAATGAAAATTAATAATATTTTTAAATATATTTTTATATTTTTTAATAAAAAAAGTATTAAGAGAAATATTTAAGATTATTAAAATTTTTAATTTATAATTTTATTACTTATATTTTTATTTAAATATAATTTTAATATATTTATGACGTCACAGTTCGATTCCGGTTCAACCCGACGGTTGAACCGGTGACCCGTCCACCCGATCATTTTTCCGGTTCATTCACCGGTCCGATTTTTAAAACATTGCTCCGACCGCCTTAGCCGTATTCCGGGAAGAATATGGTATCCCGGCCGATGTCCGCCTAGAGCTCGATGAAATTGAGACAACCCCTTGGGGCAGATTAGACCAGTGCCCCTTCACCATGCTATCCATCATTGAAGGAGGCCTCCGCTTCCCGGTCAACCCATTGATGACCGAATTCTTGCGCCGCACCGGGCTAGCACCCACTCAAGTCTCAACCAATACTTACCGAATAATCAACGGGGTCCACGAGTTGAACAACAGGCTAGGAACCAACTTAGGTTTAGCCGAGATACTCCGTCAATACACCCTTGGGCACACGGGCGACGGCTTCGCCTATTACTTAAAAATTTGACCGGGCAAAGAAAAAATAGTGACCGACACCCCAGACAAGGACTTACACGACGACGACTTTTTCTGGTTGTCTGGCAACTATGAAACGACCAACGTACCGGGCTGGTTTATTAGCAAGAACTTTGGCGAGACATGTAAGCCGTGCTAACTACTCAGTCAATTTATCTTTACTATTCTGTACTTGACACTTTTCTTCTTTCCTTTGCAGCGATCCAAGCCTTGCAAGCCCACTACCACTACCCCAATGAAACAGCCATCAAGACTGTGCTCCGTTACCGCAACTGGGATTGTAACGAGCTCCTCGGCTACACTCCAACATACCAGTATTCAGCTCCGTGCTAGAGTAAAGTTACTGACTTTCTCCGCGCTCCATCTCCACCTCCAGATCCCACACTGCCAGACGTCCTATTCATCCGTTTAACCGAGGCAGAAGAAATGGCAAAGAGAAGCCGTATCAAGAACCTACTCACAACAACCTCCACCGAGATACCGAGCATACTAACCCACTCTCCTGCTGTCGGTCAATCTAGCGGGGCCGTGGTGGCGTTGGCATCTCCCGCCGCCGGGCAAGTAAGCCAAGACATCCGCCGCGCTGGGAAAAGGCCTCGTGCAGACCCATCTGCCGAGCTAGTTACGGAGCTCAACACCGAGCAACTTGCTGTCACGGTCGACCCAACGCCCGCGTGGAAATCGCAGCTCAAACACCGAGGCAAGGAGATCCCGACAACAACTTCTGTCAAAGGCGACAAAGAGCATCTGCTCACCTTTGACCTCACCAAAGCCCTCCTGCTATCGAGCGACGTGGTTGGTAGTGACCATGTGTTAGACGCCCGGTTGGTGAAGTCGTCTGTCAAATCCATGACCAGGGTAAGAATCTCAAACTTCCCTCAAAATTTCTCAAGTGTTTGTTCGGTTTCCTTTCTAACCAAACTTTCTTTTTGTAGGCTATCCAGAAGCAGCACTTGGTCATGGAGCGGATTCACCGACTCCGGCAAAAGGCCAATGATTCTGCCAGCCAGGTTGCAAGCCTCCAAACCGAGCTCGGGAAAGCCCAGTCTTTATTGCAAATGGCGAACTCCGACAACTCTCGGTTACTCGGCCAACTTGGCTCTGCCGAGAAGGAGAGAGACGCGCTGCGGGCCGAGCTAGATGCGCTAAAACAATCACGGGAAGAGGATCTGAAGGGTGCGAACAATGTCGATTTCCTTGAGGCCGAGGAGAGTTACACAAAGCAGGTCTGTGCCACCCAAGACATTTTCTTTAAGGCTAGATGGAATTCTGCTTGTGAACATCTCGACCAGGGACCGGGGATCGACGTGTTCGCCACTCCTCTAGCTGCCTCCCTACCGAGCTATCTCGTGCCTTACGCCAACGACATCTTCGACGCGTTGCAGACTGAAGCCGAGGAAGAAAGTGACGAGGAAACCGAGGAAAATG